GTGAGGCATGACAATAATTGGTTGGGGGGTCAGTTTTGCAGGTAGTGATTGGCCCTCAGTTTCCTGGTTGCTAGGGGTAACAACTGCTTGCCAATATCATTGTGAGAGCTGCTGCACCGCCTCCTGCATGGCAGTCAGCTGTGCTTACAAGCTGGGCCCCACCAACAGGTGTTCTCTTGCTAGTCCTTACACCTTTTGTTCCTGTACTATATTTGTTTAGCTGGTATTTGCACCTAGCTGGCCTGCACCAGTTAATAGAGTATCTCCTGCATTGTACTGGGTAACCTGTCTCTAAAATAATGCTTCCAGCAGCAAAATAGTTTTCTTCAGCACAACAAAGTCAGCTGTCTTCAGTGCTTATAAAACAAGACAGTGTCTCACAGACTCCCAGCGTTTACACACAGAAGGGGTTTTCATAGTTCAAAGAAGTCCAGTCACTCAAACAATGTCTCCAGACAGAGTGTCATTCTCAAACTCCCACAAGTTTCCTGAATACACTATAGAAGTACAACACTCTACTACCCCTTAAATGGACCATAATACAAAAAGGGGGAGATACAATGCCTGTCCAGGATCCATTTCTGATACCCTGTACAAGAACAAAATCAGGTATGCGTCTGAGGGCCAAAGGCTAGTATTTTTTTCTTTTCACCTAGAAAGGAGTATTGTTGGACTTTTGAAAAAAAAATAATCAGAAATGATTAATAGGTGTGTAATAAGAAGCCGAATACTCTTTCATAACTAATCCAACAGAGTAGCAATGTTTGGATAAGTGAAAGTATAATTCTACCTCCTAGTCCTCCATGGGATTTTTTTCAGGTACAGATATTTGGTATCATTGCAAAATCCAAATTATTATATAGTAGAGGAATGCATGATGTATTATGTAACTTTATTTGACTCATGATTTTAGAGCTATCAGTTACTACTGTTTTTCTGTCTCAGCAGTAGCAGACATCTATTTTTTTATTGTCCTGTAATTATAAATAGCTTACATGAAGATTTATAAAACAAAAAAAATCTATCTGCATAGAATGGATTACACAACTTGAAAAATGTACCACTTTACCCCCATTCTTCCTGGACAAACTGTACAGTGAAAATGAAATGCCCTATACATGCTCTGCTCAATGTGTAACTCCACTTCTGTTGGGGAACCCCCCCCCCAAAAAAAAAAAACTATCATGATTACCAATTCTAAAACTTGGAGGTCCTGGGCATTTAACAAACCAAATTTTAGAAGACATGACCACAGTTGTCTTGTCATCAGAGTAGCACTCTGCCTAGTAACATCTCCTTGCCAGTGGGACACAGTTTCCCTCTGAATGCAGCTTATTTCCTGATGTATAGGATGATAAAGAAACATCACAGCTGGTGCTGGGCTACATTAAGTCTGACTCTATGAACAGCTGACGCAGGCTTTGTTCCAACATGAGTCATACGCATTTATACAGTGAACATTATGTCTTTTTATGGAATATGCTTTTAGTGTGCAACTTTATCTCCTATAACCCCCGCACATGCCATGATTTCACATTCATTCTGCCAATCAGTAGCATATCACACCTACACTTCCACTCATGCCAGATGTATGACCTCAATATCAAAAGGAAGCCTTAACTCTCTTTCTGCCGCTCTGAGATACAATTTATAGATGGCAGCTATATAAAAACCATCATAAAATGTATGTATGTATGTATGTATGGTCAGCAATTTGTAAAGAAGTTGACACATCATCATAACCTGAGAATATAATTGCTTTATTAAGTTGAAACTAAAATGGTTAATTAAAGAACACCATTCAAAACTTTAAACTTGTATTTTAATGGAACACTCTAACTAGATACCAAAACCTAAAGATGATTTCTCTGGGATCAAGAACTGTTAACATCTTGGAAATTTTGATGGCATTACCCAGGCTTTCTAGCCTTTCCTGTTCACTCATGGGGACACCTGGGTTGCTGATGATCAGAAAACACCTTTGTTGCTGGAACTATTTGGTAACTATGTCAGAGTTCCCCCTTTTACACTAGGTTTAGTATTTACATAGAAAAAAACAAAACTGCATACCATGATGACAAAAAGTGTATAAAAAGCAGCAGATCTGTGCAGAATGCCAGACCCATCTTATAAGTTCTGATCCCAAATCAGTCATCTTTGGTCTAAAATGAATTACAAAAAAAAAAACGCTTTCTTTTAAACATTCCACAATCGCCTTTAGAACACATAGGAAAAAATGAACACATGTTCCAAATTCACAATACAAGACAGCTGTTAAAAAAAAAAAAAAAAAAAAAAAATCAGACAATGATTGACAGGACTGTATTCTTTATTATAAAGAAAACCTATGGAGGAACAAACCTGGATGGATGTTGAAGCCTGTAAATGGCACATGCCAAAATGTATAGTACTGTACATAAAAGTGCATAATCACAACAGTTTTAACAGTAAAGTTTTTTTTTTTTTTAATGAGAGTCACACATTTACTTTTCAGTATATTTCACCTTTTTTGAGAATGAGTCTGAATGCTATGGAAATGTAAAATGTGGAGTAAAAAGTTGAAGGTCCTCTAAATGTTTAAAGGCACTTTCACATGTACATACTACAGATGTACACTGACACAATTTAAATAACAGTCAACAAAAAATAAAATGCTAGCTGTAATAAACAGACAATACAGACAGCTGGCTGTGCAGGAGATATGCCAGTAGTGGGAATAACTCCATAAAGGCCCCGCTGACCATGTGACTGGCCTGTTATACACAACCACCTACAGTACTGGAAATACCTAGAACCATCAAACTACACATGTAACTGGCAGTACACTCAGATGCATTGCTCCTAATATACTCTTGTAATACACTAAATCTATTGAGAAATATACACACTTCCAACTGTTTTAAAGACATGTATTTAACTCATAATGTCACAATGACTGAAAAAAGAACAGTACCAGGCTAATCCTGTGTTTGAACAACAGTAGTGAGTTCCAGTTTGTTCCTGTGAGTTGCTAGTGTCATCTATATTCATGTGAGGACACAGCTGTATCTAGAGCAGCCAAGCTCCTGGGCTCAGCTTCAGTTACAGGCTGCAGTGAAGAGGTATAGCACTTGTACACAATGACGGCCCTCCGCATAGTGGACACATAGTGCCAGTGGGTCTATTTTTATTGGTAACAGTAGTGTACTAGTACAGGAATGTTAATGCTCTGCATTAAAAAGACATTCTAAAAGGTGTTAATTTTACCTGCCCCCACCTTTAAAAGATGGAAGCACTGCTCACATCTTAAAATAATTCTCCCAGATCAAGTTCTAAAAAGGCTTCATTCTCGAGATTGAAAATACCTAGAACGATTTAGCGGTTTATAGAGATAGTATGCAAGTGCAATCCCGGATGAATAGCTAGGAAAGTTTGCTGCCTCTACCACACTTATCTGGGCCAATGTCTTAGAATAGAATTGTAGAGCACTAAAATCATAATTCTATCATGAGTGCATTAACCTGAAACAGACCGAAAAAAAAATTATATAAAAAAAGCCTCAAGTGATGAGGTGACTGTAATTTCTAGAATATACAAGTCATATATACAACTAAAATGATTAAAAAAAGAAAATATATATAATTAAGGAATATGATAGTACCTGCATTTGTTGACATTTTAGACCTAAGCTACACTACCATGTTACCTAGATTGTGCAGTTTGTACATTTGGATAGAAAAGTAATATCTGCTACTATGTTTTCTCATGTAAATCAGGAAAAACATAACCCATACAATATTAGTAGATTAACAGGCAGATAATAATAATAAAAAAACAAACATTGCATCGCTATGAGATGCAAGTAAACTGTTAAATAAATGTATTACATCTGGGTCACCCAACCACCTTCTCTAATGGAACGGATATTAATACTGTGCTAATTTTATATATAAACATATCCAAATATATCTGCTGTGGTTATTGCTCAGCACTCAGCTAGTCCGTGAAGTGGTTAAGGACTTCCCGCTTTGGCAAGTGGCAAACTGGATCATGTGTGCAGGGGGAAGGGAAACGGGGAACGTAACCTCCTCAGGCACCATTCTGTATTTATACAACGTAATAGTGTTATTTCACAACTCTGAGTGCACAACTGCACAGCTTAATGCCCCCCCAAGCAGTAAGAAATACAAGATTACGAGAGAAAAAAAAAAAACAAAAAAAAAAAAAAAAACACTGTTTTTCTATATTCTAACAGCTCCACTACAGCTGACTACTAGCCACTCTTTAGCTTAATGGCACCTGCAGACACATGCCTATAGCTAATGAGTAATCCAGCCAAGCACAGAAATATTTCTGTACAGCAGTACATTGTTCATCACATCTGCAGAATGCGTGTGCAAAATGTTTCTTCTGTATATATATCCATCTCTATGCATAGAGATTCCACATATACCTAGAATAAGAACCACATGCAGTGCATACTGTACACATTAACAGGTTAGGCTCACTGTTATAAGGAAGATATACAGCTACAAAAACATCAACAGTGGTTATATAAGTCCTGGACTCTGTCTGGAGGGGTACTTGCTTGGGATCCACCACAGGATTCTTTATTAAGCAGGCAGTAAGGCTGCAAAGGAATGTCATTTAATAGCTCTATCACATTACTGCTATCAGGTATTCTAAGCTGCTCTACAAACCAAGTAAGCCTCTGTGTTCATAAATTCTTAACACATGAAGCGCAAAAAAAAAAAAATACATATTATATATATATATATACCCACACTCTATGCACTTTAGATGGAAAATCTCTAAGTGGGAAGCAATTTGTGATCTGTTGCAAACTATAAAATTTGTGCAGCATGAATTCAAGTAGTATCTATGTGTTTCTACTGTTGTAAACACATATCATCGTCCAGTTAAAAAAAAAAAAAAAAAAAAGTCTCAGAATAGTCACAGGTGGTATGTTCCTGTAAGATCATGGCATCTCCAGTTACTTGTTATATCTTGGCAGGGTAACATCACATTGTGCAAGACTTATCTGCTGCCCCTTGTGAAGGTTGTGATGCTGCTCCTAGGCCAGGATTAGTTTTTGGTAGGACAGCAGGTTTTGGTCTTAGAGCTGGTGGTTTCAGTTGCACTCCCATTCTAGGAGTCACCATAGGCTTAAATGTACTCATTGTTTCACTAGAAGTGCTAGTACTACGTCGGATTTGGGGCTCTGTGTTCTTCATCATGACATTATGGTGAGGACTTAATGATTCTGTTGATGTTGAAGAGGTGGGAGAGTTCTTAATCTGCTCCAGTGTATCTAGCACCACATCTGGGGCATGCTTGGCAGTACTTTGTCGCTCAAGCTCACGCAGCTCATTCAGGGCTGTGTTCATGGTCTCCTCTATATCCTGCTTGGGAGGCAAAAACAACAAGGTCAGTCTTTTTATGGCTTGTATCACACTAATCACTAAGAATAAAAGGACTTAGCAGCCAATGTGTGTTTGTTCAGGACACAGAATGAACCATAATGATGACAGCACAGTACTGACCCACAGGTTTTCTCACTCACAATATACTACCCACGTGCTCTCATAAATCAAAGAGGTCACTGACCAAATGGACATACCCATATTTGGCAAATTACATCACCCAGGTGAACTCACCCCTTTGTTATCTTTAGAGTGGGGACCTGGAAATGTTATTCAGGGTGAGAGAAGCGACAGATTGGATGTCATTTCCGGATCCCGCCACTAAAACAAACAAATGGCTCAATAGTGACAGAAGCGGCAGGATCAGACGTGTCTTGGTGGGCATCAGTATGAGTATGCAGTAATTAACGCTTTTTTCTTTTTTATTGAATTGTCTTCTTCTGAGATACTGTAAATCAGAGGTGCTCAATATTTAGAAGAGCAAGCAGCACAATGATGTGGTTCTAGTTTCCAAATTTTTTATTTTGAATAGCATAATGAACATTTTCTTCTTGCAGCCGTGGAGCTGCTGGTGGGATGGAGAGGAGGAGAAGCTGGCTTTCAGCAGCTGCAGGAGGAAAATGGAGAGGGATCGGTTCCTGTATATTCCACCCCCACTACCCCTCCTGTCCAAGTGTAAAACAAAATGTGACAGGGAGGAAAGCACAGGAACCCAACGCTACAGCAGTGGTTGCGTGGGTGGTAAAAACACGTCTCAACTATGGGGTTTTATGCCCCCCCAACTGCAAATGTAAACAAGCCCTTACTGTCCTGAGCCCCCTATGAAGCTGCTTTCACAGCGATGCGCTTTGGTTTACTGGTACTGTGGGTGCCGCGCAGTGCACCTGCAGCTTTCCTGCAGGTTAGCTGCACTATGCCATAGACATCTATTATATCTTGCAAGTGTGGAGCACTTTCTGAAAGCGCACTAAAACTACTGCATTCAGTTTGAGGTGAAAGGCCAGATGTGGCCCGTGGACCACAGGTTGAGCACCCCTGCTGTAAATCCTGCATGAGTTATTTTAACGCAAAGTCCATGCAGTATTTATCTCTTACTGAATTGACCTCTGTGTCCTTTATCCCAGGAGACTTATGGTAGGGTAGGATATCAAACACCACAAAATACACAATATATATAAATTTCTGTTTAATGTCAAAAAGGGAGTTTCCACCAACCCGACAAAAAGAGTACAAATATGTGAATCTTCTTGGCTATAGGAGACACAAAGTTTTTTAACTTACATTACACTGGTATTTTAACCAATTGGATCCAGAGTATGTTTAAAAAAAAAAAGTGCCATATAAAAAAGAGCAAACAGTGGTTCCTGCAGGTTCCAGCAGCATTTCACGTTGGAGCCACTGGTAGTCAATGACAGTTGTTATTAGCAGTAAAAAGCTGAACTGATAAGCACCGGATTGCTCAGAATAAACAGTAAGATATAGTGTGTGGAAGGGAGACATCACCGAAATGCACAAGTGTTTGGTAGTCTGTGTAATGGTCGTGTGTACTGGGCACACACAAAGCGGTGTGTAGTGTGGCAATTTTGTCATGTCACAAGTCTCCTATGCCGTCTTGTCATAAGAAGGCACAGCACAGTGAACTCTCCCCCCCCCCCCCGCTCTATCCTTCAGTTTATACAATACACAACTGTTAACTGATGCCAAAGCCTTCTTATCACACCAGGACAGCTACAGGCCCTGTCAAGCCTATTAGTCCAATCCCATTCCAGCCTCTAAAAACCCTAATAAAACTGTCACCCTCGCAAGCTTGAACAATTCAGAGACCTAACAGACCTTGGGTCATAAATGCCTTACTGGAATACCCACTTCTGATAGATGGCTTATCAGCCAAGATTCTAAAACTTCAGCATGTTTCATAACTTCTGAAATTCTGACAGTATAGCCAGAATAAAGTCATATTCACCTTCAGCAGTTATTGGGTAGCATTTTGAACCAAAACATCCCTATGCTATGAGGTACCAGAGTGGATTAGGTCTCCGCACCCCTCCTATGAGAAATGGATATCTGAGACCTGCTAGATCTACAGTCAGGTCCATAAATATTGGGACATCTACACAATTCTAACATTTTTGTCTCTATACACCACCACAATGGATTTGAAATGAAACAAACAAGATGTGCTTTAACTGCAGACTGTCAGCTTTAATTTGAAGGTATTTACATCGAAATCAGGTGAACGGTGTAGGAATTACAATAGTTTGCATATGTGCCTCCCACTTGTTAAGGGACCAAAAGTAATGGGACAATTGGCTTCTCAGCTGTTCCATGGCCAGGTGTGTGTTATTCCCTCATTATCTCAATTACAATGAGCAGATAAAAGGTCCAGAGTTAATTTCAAGTGTGCTATTTGCATTTGGAATCTGTTGCTGTCAACTCTCAAGATGAGATCCAAAGAGCTGTCACTATCAGTGAAGCAAGCCATCATTAGGCTGAAAAAACAAAACAAACCCATTAGAGAGATAGCAAAAACATTAAGTGTGGCCAAAACAACTGTTTGGAACATTCTTAAAAAGAAGGAATGCACCAGTGAGCTCAGCAACACCAAAAGACCTGGAAGACCACGGAAAACAACTGTGGTGGATGACCGAAGAATTCTTTCCCTGGTGAAGAAAACACCCTTCACAACAGTTGGCCAGATCAAGAACACTCTCCAGGAGGTAGGTGTATGTGTGTCAAAGTCAACAATCAAAAGAAGACTTCACCAGAGTGAATACAGAGGGTTCACCACAAGATGTAAACCATTGGTGAGCCTCAAAAACAGGAAGGCCAGATTAGAGTTTGCCAAACGACATCTAAAAAAGCCTTCACAGTTCTGGAACATCCTATGGACAGATGAGACCGAGATCAACTTATACCAGAGTGATGGGAAGAGAAGAGTATGGAGAAGGAAAGGAACTGCTCCTGATCCTAAGCATACCACCTCATCAGTGAAGCATTATGGTGGTAGTGTCATGGTGTGGGCATGTATGGCTGCCAATGGAACTGGTTCTCTTGTATTTATTGATGATGTGACTGCTGACAAAAGCAGCAGGATGAATTCTGAAGTGTTTCGGGCAATATTATCTGCTCATATTCAGCCAAATGCTTCAGAACTCATTGGACGCCGCTTCACAGTGCAGATGGACAATGACCCAAAGCATACTGCAAAAGCAACCAAAGAGTTTTTTAAGGGAAGGAAGTGGAATGTTATGCAATGGCCAAGTCAATCACCTGACCTGAATCCGATTGAGCATGCATTTCACTTGCTGAAGACAAAACTGAAGGGAAAATGCCCCAAGAACAAGCAGGAACTGAAGACAGTTGCAGTAGAGGCCTGGCAGAGCATCACCAGGGATGAAACCCAGCGTCTGGTGATGTCTATGCGTTCCAGACTTCAGGCTGTAATTGACTGCAAAGAATTTGCAACCAAGTATTAAAAAGTGAAAGTTTGATTTATGATTATTATTCTGTCCCATTACTTTTGGTCCCTTAACAAGTGGGAGACACATATGCAAACTGTTGTAATTCCTACACTGTTCACCTGATTTGTATGTAAATACCCTCAAATTAAAGCTGACAGTCTGCAGTTAAAGCACATCTTGTTTGTTTCATTTCAAATCCATTGTGGTGGTGTATAGAGCCAAAAATGTTAGAATTGTGTCCATGTCCCAATATTTATGGACCTGACTGTATATCCATTTTGAAGCTAATTTCATGCAGGACAATAATCTGCATGGTAGCAGACTGTAAACTGTAGGCATTCAAAAATATTAATACTTCTAAGAAACTGTATTTGAGACAGCACCCACCCCTTAAACTGGATGATTGGTTAGATGGTCTCTGTCAACACCCCTTTGATACCACAAAAAACAGGCAGGACCTGTGGGTAATCTCTCGTTTTACCATCAACTACGGAACATATGTCAAGTTATGAGAGCCAATAACACCTTGCTTATTGATTGAACTCTGCTAAAACCAAGGATTGTGCACGTATTCTTCCTTTCCAAGGTCTTTTTAATTCTCTGTTGCTTTTATGGTTTCTTTATTTCTTTGTAACATTTTGTCTGGAAATATTTTATTTGCACCATTTTGAGCTTTTAATTATTAAACTCTATTAGTTACTCTAGTGTTAAAACTGTCCCTAAGACTTCTAATGCAAACTAAAGAATCCCTGTCTCTTGAAGAGTGCTTTTAGATTACAAATCTCTGAACATACCTGTCTGTGGTGACAGTGTGTGTTACAGACGTTTATTCTAAAATAATAGTTGTTATTGCTAAGATAAATAAGTTTCCGCCCTCTCAGTCAAAAGGTGGTGGTGGTAGCTTAAAGAGTTAATTGCTTAGCAAGTTAACCCAGAGACAATTGCTCTCAGGCTGCAGCACTTAGATTTTGGTCCGGTGAGCTGGAAAATCTTTGTGCAGGGTGAATCAGAGAGTGATATTGTTATGCAAGTGACAGCACAGTGTAAGATTGGCTGGTCGTTTGTCACGAGTTTGTGAGAAGGGGTTGGGCACTACGTTCGTCTACAATACAGTTCTGCTGTAACCCACTGTGAGAGGGCATTCTTTTAATTGCAGAAAAAACATGCAAGGTCTCTTCTGCAATAAACTACGCCTACCTGCCTGATCACAGCGACCCACGGAATGTAAGCGGAGCTGCGCAAGTGTAGCTCAGCTTTCTGTATCTGTCCAATCTTGTGTGCCGCAATGACTAGCTCTTCCGCATGCACAGGAGTAATATCATCCTGCACCAGCCAATGGAAAACTTGAAAACCAGCACACAGAAGATGCCGACAATAGAGGGACAGTTGAAAAAGGGAATGACTCTGCCTTTAGTGCTGCTTTAAGGAAATCCCATTTCTACTAGGTGTTATCTAGAGGTGGATGGTGGAACTACAGTTAATAAAACAGCAAGTGCTTTCAATACTGGGTTGCCAGTATTGAATACCGGGTCACCATGGTAACCAGACGACTGGGACTTGTCCAGCCTGATATAATGCATACAGCTAAGCAGCCAACATTATTCAATGTACACATGGGAAGGGGAGTGCACAACAAATAAGATTGTGATTGGAATGCATGCAATGACTGGAGGAAGCACTGCAAAAGTTTATGTATTCTGAATGGATCAATCAAAATAAAAGGTTAATGAAAAGAGTCTACTAAAAAAAGGTTAATGCACTTTGAAGTGAAAGTGTACAGTAACAGTTAACAGCTGAAGCGGGATAAAACAGGTTAAGGCATAGCAAGGTACTGCAGCTTGGAATATCGCTTGTGCGCCAGGTTTGCTGGATGCTACTTTGTGGTGTGTGCTTCTTTTTCCCGTTTCTTATTGGATCCTGGATGCAATAAATTCTAATTCTCTTAAAGCAGCTAAAACTGACAGCAGCTAAACATAGGTAAACACTGCTGACAGTGTGAATGGCACCACTGAATAATCATTACCCGCTTAGCACATACAGAACTTTTTCAGAGTGCACTGCAAACTGGTCATACATTGTGATATGCTCAGTATTCCTTAGGTGACACTGTTGAACTGTAACATTTTAAACAAGTCAAAAGATTGAAGATTGTAGCAGTTATTAAAAAATGGTTCCTCACATTTAACCAGTCTGTAGTATTCTCAGTGCCCCATTAAAACTTCCAATTAGTATTCCCAACAATCGCATTGGTATTCAATATCACAGCAATATTTTGACACTGACAACATCTGCTTTAATTTCCTCTACATACCTGAGCAATACTCTCTGGGTCAAGAGGCTTGTGGTCATTAAAGTTGGTGTACTGGCCAGATGATGTAGACCTTCGTATTGGAGGGCTGTTTATCTTTTTCAGGGAATCATGTCTGCTGATATTGGTAAGACTTCCATGACCTGGTTTCCGTCTACGTTCTGGACTGTCAGTATTGAGGTTACGATTCTGTAGGAGGGCACGTGGGCTACAATGACTCAAAATGTTGGAAGATCCAATTTCCATTGAAGTGTTGTTAAGGGGCTGTGGTGGGTGAACTGGACAGTGAATATCACTAGTCCCGCCTGAACGCCGAGAGGGAGGAGGTGGATCGATTCTCCGTCTTGGTCTTCGATAAAATTATTAAAAAAATATGGTTTTAAACAAATGTTTGTTGAAAAAGCATTTTCTCTCAGATTTTTTATTTGCAATGAAAATTTGCCATTTATCAGTCCTTAAAAGCAGAAGATATGTAATCACTGCTAAAAGCTGAATTTTACACAATAGTTGAGGAACAGGGTTTTGACTAAGACAGGATTCAGTAAATTGTATATAGTTCTACAACAGGGGTAAGTATGCAAAATATGATTTCCGCCAAAAATGAGCAATTACTAGAGTTATTCTTAAAATGATAACTTAGTAGCATTATACCTTAAAAGTAAGTAATTTGTCTAGCTGATCTCAGAATGTGGACACATGCCTGTATAGATGATTTTTACAGAACTATTTAGAGTGGGGGCTCTTACCTTCCTGAATATAAATCAGGATATCTGTCAGTTGGTGAATTGATGTCCTTGGATGATGATTTGTCTTCTGTTACTGGCCCACTACTAGCTTCACTATCTGCCTTTTGGCTTAAGGAATCAGAAAATGTATCATCCCTAAACATTAAGAAAAATAACATTAGTCAGGCAGAAATCTTTTAGAAAATAGTGTAGCACAATACTATATCACAATAGATTGAAATCTGTGTAACATTTGTCATTTTCAGATTGCTTCATAAGACTTACATGTCTTGTACCACAATGTACTGGTGGGGCACTAGGCCGTCAATTCCATTGTGTCTTCCTTCCCACCAGTCGTCAGAAGCACGGTGATATAAAAGAAGTGATGCACCCTTTTTAAAGGACAGTTCCCGTGCAGATCTTCCAATATAATCAAATTTTGCTATGGCTTCAATTGGCTCACACTCTGCAAACAAAGTTACAAAAAGGGTTTGCATAAAAAATATCTGAGAAAAAAAACAAAATCTGGTAGATACAAACAATTTAGTGGTGTGTCAAAATAATATTTTAAAGTCCATCCTCCAATGATATGTTCAATTTTGGGAAGATGCCAGCAGAAAGCTGCCTCCCCTGATGTAGAGCTGATTTACAAAATATGAAGAAGTGGGACAATTACTTATTACATGGTTTTGTCTGTTAAAGGAGTCAATTAATCTGTTTGTTATGGGTAACAGTTTCAGCATCATTCCAGCTTTTGTAAATCAGACAACGATGTAGAGAAGCAGAGCTGGAGAACTTAGGCTGAAATTTAGCAGAAGTTTTTTTTTTTTTAAATAAACTGGAACGGTACTTAAAATGAATGCGAAGCGTCTCTTGTGCTGGTGGCTGCTATGTTGGTGAAAACATTAGTCCTCTGCTCTTCTGGATAGTGTCGACTATGCCCGCCCTTTCTGTGCCCCTGCTCTATCATAAAAGTTGTATTTCCTGTACTCGCTTTTGGCATTGAAAAAGCTCTACAATTAGAGGACGACCTTTCATTCATCTGCTTGTCCTCCAATTGAAGAGTGCCTTTCATTGGGGAAAACAATAGTGTAGCTGTTATGAACGGAGCAGGGAGCACATAAAGGGGTGGCCACCGTCAGGACTTTTGAGGAGTGCCTGTGACTGGACAGGTCCAGCTGCTTGTATTAACCTCTGCAGTACCAGAAGATCACAGCTGCTGGATAATTGGGGGAGAAGAGGAATGAAGATTTTAATTAACATAGCAACCACCAGCATGAGAAACACTTCCCGTAAGTACTGCCAGATTTTAAAAAAATTTAGATTTCACCATTATGCTTTAATGGGACATATTACGGCTGGAGTTTGAGAAACAGAAGTTTATTCTGCGGCTCAAGCCACAAGTACCCAAACCTTTATCTATACTTCAAGTATACCACATTGATCCTATTACATAAAGAAAGTTCACCAAATATTGTTTTGGGAGTCGCATGTGGACTATCACACAGTTTTATCCAAAAAAAAAAGTGCTTTGACATGCCGAAGCTTACAAATAAGACATAGTAAATGTTTTTTCTTGATGTCTGTGGAAAACTCAAACTATGGGACTTTTCTTATTTGCTCTCTTTTGGTCTGTTAAGGATACCATTGAACATGGTTTGTTATTACTACTTTGAGAAGTACAAACCATACTTGTTGACCATAGCAGAAAATATTGTGAGCTGCTAATTTTCTGTAGTGAGCCCACTGCGCCCAAAACAGCTCTCCCCAGGTCACTGTCTTCGAGCTACAGAGGACAACCCCTCCATATTATGGAGAGGGAGAAATGTTCTGTAGGCCAAGCACAGGTCCTTTACAAGGGTGACAATGCTGCTCCATCCTAGATAATAGTATAGCGAGTTATTCACCAGGTGAAAATAAAGGTTTAAAAGTAAAAGCGTGAAAAAAAAAACACAAAACACATTCAGCCATCACATACGACTGGTATGATGCAATATTATACACAGCCCTGGACAATGAAAATGTCAGTTTATGTGTATTGCTGATGTCTGTGCAAGTTTACCGGGATTTGTACAACTATCTTCATTTGTGCATGTTTTCTTACATGCGAAGTATAAAATGGCCAGATGTAAAAGGTTGACTTTAAAATTACCAGGAACAACTAAATCTGCACTGTGAGCACCCATCCATGTTAAATAACAATCCCTAGTATCTAGAGGAAACATTTGGGCAGGAGCCCAAGCTTATGACATCATCTATGCTGCCTGTATACAACGTGATTGAGATTTGAGCTAAACAAAATAAAATAGTAAAAAACAAAAAAAACAAAACAAAATAACATTGCTGCAATAGCCACCTTTTATCCAAAGCTGACCCCCCCCCCCCCCCCTCCCCCCCTTCCCCAGTACTTTTTTTTTAATGTGCAGGTATCTATGTGTATGTTTTTTGTGTGCATGTTAAAATTCATGAGAGGGCATCAGAGAGGGTGGATGCTGGGGAACGTCTTATTTTTTGGCAGACTTCCGCTTTAAATAAACAAACATATGGCAGCATGAATCTAACAAGCAACAGTGATTTGTGTCTAAGTGTCTCAGACTGCTTTACAAACACTATAATCTTGCTTCATATGTCATAGATTAGCTTGCAGCTTCCTTGACATCCCTTACCAGTTTAAGTATTTGAACTGAATGTGACCCTAACCTTCATGAACCATTCTCTAGCCCCAGGGTACAGTTCCTTGTTCAGTATTGTTACTGGTTCAGGTATTTTCTCTATCTGTATGTAAAACTAGAACACCTACATTCTGCAGTAATCTAATACAGAAAAAAACAACTGTGAAATATTGTAGAGACTTGAAAGGAAACATATCCAAAACAATTAAATTAACATGTTAGTATATATGTTTAGAAATGTTTTATTATTTGTATAACATTTTACAACTAAACATGGAATACAGGATATAGCCATGAAGCGTAACATACACATGATCCTAGTTTCCCTAATGTAAGCCTAGAATTACTGCAATGCTTGCTGCCAACCTTTGGCTACCTGAAACTCCAGATGTCTCTACAATTATAGAAGGGGGATGGTGTGTGCATGTATGTGTGTGCAATTTGTATTAAGGACTATTCACAATACAGGCTTTTCAGGCTATTCACAACATAGCAGTAAATCAGACACCAGAAAAACTGGAGATATAACCTCAAGTTCACCCTCTGCTAGCTGCAAGGGGTAAAAACAAGTGTACATATATAATATTCACCTTCATTTCAACCAAAATTATTCCTGCAGCATAGGATACGTAAGCTATATGTGCATTGAATGTATTTTATGCTTTTTATTTGCCTGTAAAATCCTCCCTTGTGTAGACATCCAAATAACCTGAGACTGTTGCTGGGTGCTTTAATACTTGATGTGATATCAGCACCTCCAGGAGACTCAGAGCTATCATTCAAGTGACACTCTATAGCGGGGGTCTGCAACCAGTAGACAGGTGACTGGTAGATCATGGTCTGGGCTTGCTGACCCACCATCCCAGAGTATCAAACAGAATGCAATGTAGAGGGACTACTTGTAAAGTTTGAGCAGTAGTAGGAGAGCAAGAGACGCATAAACCGATGCCTCCTCTGTAGTGCTGGCTCCTGTCCCACGTGGAGTGTACCAACTGTACTCCACCTCTTATCCCGGCTAGCGGTCCCCACAGTGGTGCCAGCAGTAGGAAAGAAGAGATCTTCAGGTCAGCGTGAAGCAATACACTGGGAATAATAGTATAGGGCTGCTTTCAGGGTGATGTGCTGTGATTTACCAACACCACGGGGTGCAGTGCAGTGTACCCTGCAGCTTTCCTGGGTTTGCTGTGCTTAGCCATAGACTTCTATTATATCCAGCAGGGTGTGGTGTACTTTCTGAAAGCACACCACAACTCCTGCTCCTGAATGCTGGAGTTTTGGTAAGCTTTCAGAAAGTGCACCACACCTGCTGGATATAATAGATATCTATGGTTAAACTAACCCAGGAAAGTCACAGATGCACTGTGCTGCACACATGGTGCAGATAAAGCGCAGCAGATCAATGTGAAAGCAGCCTTATAGGGGGCTCAAAACAGTCAGGGTTCATTTACATTTGCAGTTTGGTAAAACCCCATAGTTAAGACATGTTTTTACCACCCCTGCCCCAACCACACCCCAAAAAAGAGGTGTCAGGATGGAGCCTTGGAGTGCCCCTACAGAGAGGCAGAGGAAATGAGGAAGTTGTAGTTGGGAAAAAACAGGGAAGCAATACTCTCCATATGAGTTTAATATTTGAATCTAACACAGACTCACTGACCTTGTTCAGGCCCCGCATTCTTTTGATAGGAGGCTTTGATATTAACCACTTGCTAACCGTGCTATAGCCAAATGACAGCTACAGCGCGGTTATCCAGTTTTGGGAGGGCGCCATAAGACGTCCTCCCAGAACGTGCCCTCCCACGCGTCCCCAGCGGCACGCACTCGGCGATCTCCATGATCACTGTGTCCTACGGACACAGCTGATCATGTGATGAGGTAAAAGGCCAATCACAGTGGCCTTTTACCACGTGATCAGCTGTGTCCAATGACACAGCAGATCACCGAATAAATACAGTTGCCGGTTACCGGCTGCAATTTGCTCACGCTGTCACAGTGTCAGGAAAGTACTGCCAATAATCGGCAACTGTCACAGAGCAGATAGGCACTGATTATCAGTGCCCAGCAGTGATACCCACCAGTTCCCAACAGTGCCTCCCAGCAATTGCGCTGATCAGTGCTGCCTATCAGTGCCCATCATTGCTGCATATCAGTACAGCATTATCAGTGCCTCCTCATCAATGCCCACCAGTGCCACTTCATCAGTGCTGCCTATCTGTGCCACCTCATCAGTGCTGCCTATCTGTGCCACCTCATCAGTGCTGCCTATCTGTGCCACCTCATCAGTGCTGCCTATCTGTGCCACCTCATCAGTGCTGCCTATCTGTGCCACCTCATCAGTGCTGCCTGTGTCACCTCATCACTGCTGCCTATCAGTGCCCGTCAGTGCTGCGTATCAATGCAGCCTCATCAACGCACATCAGTGAAGGAGAAAAATGACCTGTTTGCAAAACATTTGAAAAAAAAAAGAGAAAGTGTTTGTTTCTATTATAAAATTTTGCACTTTTCTGTTTATAGTGCAAAAAAATAAAACACCCAGTGGCGATTAATTACCACCAAAAGAAAGCTCTATTTGTGTTAAAAAAAAATTATAAACATTTCATATGGGTACAATGTTGCATGACCCGCGCAACTGTCATTCAAGGTGTGAGAGTGCTGAAATCTGAAAATTGACCTGGGCACGAAGGGGGTAAAAGTGCTCGGTAGGCAAGTGGTTAAAAAGAATATTTTGAAACTACAAAACATCCTACTGCATGAGCTAAATTACAATAATGGTGCTGAAAGCTGGTGCTGGGGCTCA